GTCCTCTACAAGAAAGGTCCTATGCAATTTTCCCGTAGATCCAACGGTTTGGAAGTTATCGGCAAAAAACGAAAATTTCGCAAAATTTGAAGGGGTATCCCTTGGAAAAATCTCGAAAAAATCGAAAAAAAATTTTTTATCAAAATATCGAAAAATATCGAAATAGATTCCATTAAAGGGAGGAAAATAAGGGATAAGAAGATAAAATACGCCTGGGATCGAGTTACAAATTGTGGTTACCCACGAAAGTTTCTAGTTCCTCAAAGGAATAAGGGAGGATTCGTTCGCCCTTGCAACAATAAATAAAATTATATAGCTAAAGCAGGTGAAGAGCCTCACAGTTTCCAACTACCAGTCATAAATTACATACTAGGTCTCAAAACCAATAAAACTCCATCGTACGATCATAAAAGATTGACTAGACCAATTGAAGGCTGTATCATGAGGGTACATAAGACGGAATAAGAACCGTTGCTCAAGATCAATATCATGTATCTCACCGTAAGTACGTGTTGCCTAAAACGAACGGAAGCTCCTCGAATCTATCCCCTTGATTCATTCTGTATTGAAGCAGTTTTACACAGCAAGGTCTATATTTTATCGATCACGTTGCTACAATTTTCCTTAACAAATTATTTCATTCCTCGTTAGTACCAAGTGTTTCCATAAATAATGATTAAGACACAAATCAAATTAGGATCAGATGGGGATCATTGATCGATTTTTGAATCTATTATTTTGGATAATAATCGGCCGATCTGGAAGTAGTTTCAAATTGTCGAGAACACGATGTGCTTCGTGCACGGAGAGGATTTAAGAAGAGGGAGAGGGATGGCGTTCGCGCAGGGGTGCAGACACCCCGGTGCTGCCGCCGGACTGCGGAGGGTGGCGTAAAGCGGGAAACCAATGTGTCCACAGTTCACTGCAAGTCGTAGGAACGGGTGGTCGGTCGCGTTTCTTCGCCGGTCCTGATCGCGATGTAAACAAAATCCTCGCTCCAATTCGGTGTTCCTCACGCGATCTACCCCTGGTCACTTTACACATTCTAGACCCTCGTGTTTGCCGAATCGATCGTCCAGTTTGCGAGACATCAACTGCACGTGTCCCTAAACGTCTTCAATCATTTTCGGTGATCGATCAGTCAAAAAAATGTGGATCACCGGTTTTTTACCAGGATCCGAGGGTGGCGTTTGATAATTTTTCTTCTGCGTTTGATTCACACTTGGAAACGATTTTAAATTGAAAATAAGAGGGACAATGGAAACATGTGATTCGTCTTTATGGTGCGAACGAGATGGTTTTTAATTCTGGGCACCCGAGCTCTGTGACACGGTAATTGTACCATGGGTGCTAGTAGGCGTTAAAACGTGTTGCGTTAGCCGTACACAGGGTAATAGGTTGAACGCTGATAAAGGGACGGTTTTGAAGAATGTAATGAAGAACGACGTTGCTATTAATGTGGATAAAGTTGTGTTTAAGTAAAACGTAATTTTGTGGACTAATTGGATGGGGTACAGATTTCAATTAAGGACAATGAACGGCGCTGCTTATCTTAATCTCTTGGCGTAGTTAATTCTAACTGGACTAATTTCAACTGGTATACCGATTAACATCTAACGTGCTCGCCAGAAGAGGATCAAGAAAAGTTTTCTAAAATTTACGAAGTAATTCAAGACACACAGTAATCAGTTACAATGTTAGAAGAGCATCTTTACTTGGACACCGGTGTTAAAACATGTAATAAAAGAAAACACTGATTCAGAGATCTCTTGAATTCAATTAGAAGATTTATGTGCTTGATAAAAGGATTGTCATAATTTCTAACGATGCGAACGATCGAAGAACCGATAACGGAAAGTTGTTGATTACAAACGGTGGGACGTGTCCACAAAGCACAACTTTTAACCAACTATAATGTGCGATTTCAACATCGGGAACTATAGCACCTGTGGAACCTTGAGGTAAATTGTTCACGTTTACCATAGGTAACTGGTGTTATTCGATTCTCGTTGAATATTGCATCCTCCCGAGTATAGTTAACCGCGTTTGGTAGTTTCGATGCTCGCAAGAGATACCTTGCCCAGAAGTCCTGGGACGGGCCAACTCGCTGCGCGATTCTTGAGAGTTTAATCGATTTTCGTCTATCCAGAGTTTTTGATAGCGCCTTAAATATCTTGGGAACACGTTCAGAAAGTTTGCGAATCGTTTATGCACCGCTTGGGAAAGTCAATGATAAAGTTGAAAATGAAATCGTTTCATCTTGAGACTAAAGTTTCATCTCACGAAATTGTGAGCAGTAAATTCCCCCGAATCTCGTTCGATCACTCCTTCAAAAGTCTATTCCCTGAGTGTCGCGTTCCTGCCGGCAAAGTAACAGTCGTCCCTCTTTATAAAGAACTGTACTGTAATGGGAGTTGAAGAAAAACGAAAAATCGCGGCCGCGAAGGACACTCGAGGCGCAGGTGCGCGAAGTTCCTGCGGGAATGGAATGAGACCAGGATTCGAAATACGTATTTGACAACGGAGAGAAATGGGAGATAAACGTGTTACGAGTCTGGGAGGCGAACGTTTCAGTCTGCCTAAGGGAAGAGAACGTTCCAGTAGTACAAGCGTACCATATGTCAGACACTGCTCGAAAAAATATCACATCGACTAATCCGTGACTCGTTAATTATTAAATTTTATTACCGTTAAATATTGTTAAACGACGCGTGTATAAATCTGATAAAAAATTTACAACGCCCAGGCGTCATTATTTTATATTAAATAAATGTCTCATTGATCGTGGTACAATATGTTCGGTGTGATATACGCTTGACGAAGGTACATATTATTTTTCTCATTAACATGTGCCGGCAGAAAAAACGAGCAAGAAATACTCCCACGCGAAGCAATATCGTGGAAACCGATATTCGTATAGTGGGGAATAAAGTATCTGAAACATTTGTTTCATTCGCGGATTTATTGCGGATATTTCGCATACCCTAACTAAAATAAAGCGTTGCTTCCGCAATTTATAGCGAGTCGCACGCTGCGCTGTTTCCGCCTTTCTATGCACGTGAAACCTCTAATTGCCGCGGCAGGTGCTGTTCGAGGACACAGTCTTAATGAAAATTTACCTCGTATACATACAATATCTTTCTCCCAACGATCTCACCTACGTTTAACGCTTTGTTCCTACTTAATCATTTCCGCGCGACCTCTAAATATCGTACAGACTCTAAGATTTAGAAACAGGAATTGAAAACTGAATTTAATTTTTAGTAACCCCTTGAACGACAATTTATTTTCAGTCAGCACTTGAAAAAGAGGAAAGTTTATGACGAGCTGGACTCGTCATTTCCGTTCAAGGGGTTAATATCATTGAATGATTAGACCGTAGGATTGTTTAAAAAATTTGTAATGGACCTTCGTGCAGACGTACTCTGACCTAACACAATTTTAGATCTAACTACAGCAGCACGTGCCATGGATTTCCAGTAGCTCTAACTCGATTCCTTTAAATTGGAGTGAAAACTGAAGGTTCGTGATAATTAGCGAAGAATCGAAAGAAATCTAATTATATGCCTCTCCTTGATTGAGAGCCGTTCTGTGAAACGTGTTTGTTCTGAGATCTCCAGAATTGATTAATTTTCCATGATTCGCAAAGAACAGGTTATTTAAAACCTTACAGAATTTCCCTTTTTCTTCTTTTATACTCTATTGTATAAAAATTGAGAAACCTAAATTCTCGCACAGGAAACGCTGTATTTAAAAACGCTCTTTCCAAACATTTTCAGAAACCGAGTCATATTCGATGAGGAATATTTTTATACGCGGCGCACACACGATACGTCGTCTAAATTGCATTACCATTTCTCGAGCTCCCAGTGGGGATAAAAACGTTTGGTCGTGCGACTGTGTTAAAAAAACAGAGGAAATCCGATCTTTGACTCCGTCTGCATTGATTAACGGTGACGCGACAGATTTAATTCCCGTTTATAATTGGCTTAATTAACGGGAAGACCGGGTAGCAATAGAATTTATGAATAAATTTTCAGTTATCGCGAGCGATCAGTCTTCATCGGCGAGAAACGTAGAAATTGAGCAGAAAGACAAGTCAAATTGGTCGGATCGAAATGTCGTAAGAACTAATTAGCCGTAAACGAGGTATCGGAGTTCAAATAATTCTGCCAGCAAGTTGCTTTGTATCTTGATAAAAATATTGTAACTTCCGTCGTCCCCTTTTTCTCATTTCGCCGAATAAGTACGTCAAGCAGCAATATCTTTGCAATTAAAGCGCAGCTAAATAGTTTACAGTGGGAGGCCAAACCGAGCAGAGCAAACAGCAAAATAGCTCGTTCGAGTTTAAGCTGGTTTTTGTTTCATTTCCTCTTTCCCTACTTTTATCCCCCCTACCCCCCTGCGCGAACCGGGTCGAATTTTAATTTCCCAAAAGGTTTGAAGCCTGCACGATAACCGCGCTTCCTTTCTGGTTGACAAATATTGCTTTTCAACGACTTCCTCTACGAATTAATTTATCTCTCCCTATAACCAGGTTTTTACCTTATTTAATGTTCCTCCGACGCTATTTGTAGTCGTACGAGATCAGTCGATCCAGATTGGTTTTATAAATCAATTTACGATGAACACGTAACTGATCTCGATGAAAAATATTTGGTTTACATCTACAATCCTTTTTTTCCATCTGCTTGTTTGTTACTTCGTCAAAGTATCGTTTCAAACAATTTCCACTGTAATCCCGTTTCATTTGAAATTCAATTAAAAATAAAGGAACACAAATGTATTTCGCGATCGGAGACGATGAAACTGCGTGAACTTCGATCACTGTTTATTAATAACGGTTCGTTTACTAATAACGCATCTTTCATAGAAAGATCGATCTTAACTTAATAAGGAAAAGATTTGTATCGGTGCAGAGGCATGAATATTTTCCATAAATTTTGTTGCACGTTTGCATTCATAAAAGAGGGGAACTTCGCCAGGAGTAGTACATATCATTTCACTGAAATTCAATTTGTATCTCGGAATTGAAACGTCGCGCGGAGATGTTATCAAGTTGAACCGTTATCGTTTTCAATTTCAGGCCACCGCGATGTTGAAAAAGCTGAGGACGAGGCCGGCCGCTGGAGGAGCTCCAAAGAATCTGAAGACTATCGTTTCGAATCTCGCGTAAACCAACATTCATCAACGATTCGCTCGGCGGGTTCCATTATGCCACGAAAACGGCTGCCCGGGAACCACTTAACAACAGAGCCAGGGAGCTTCTATCGGCATCTGCACCGCGTGCTCTTCAATATCCGTTAGCAAACTAGACCAAACTCTGCTTCCGTTCTTCAATGGCTTGCCAGGATCTTCCGATGAACCTCGTCGATGACGACATCGACGAAGAGGTGGTAGAGGGTGACGAGGAACCACGCGGCAGGCCGCGGTAACGAAACAAATCGGAAGACTCGAGGCTGGAAAAATGGAATCGAACGAGACGGAAGGAGAGTCAGGAAATCTGTCGGGTCTGTCGAAGGTCCTGGTCGACACCGGCCAGAATCGTTCCGTCCCGTACAACGACGGACACGAGCTGGAACAGGTGTTTCTCCTGGCGACGAAGGCGACGGTGATGGGCTTCATAATCATCTGCGCGTTGTTCGGCAACTTGCTGGTGATCGTGTCCGTGATGAGACACAGGAAGCTTCGCGTAATTACCAATTACTTCGTGGTCTCGTTGGCGTTGGCGGACATGCTGGTAGCAATATTCGCGATGACGTTCAACGCTTCGGTCGAGCTATCCGGTCGATGGCTGTTCGGCTATTTCATGTGCGACGTCTGGAACTCGTTAGACGTGTTCTTCAGCACCGTGTCCATACTCCACCTGTGCTGCATCAGCGTCGACCGTTATTACGCGATCGTTCAGCCGTTAGACTACCCACTGATCATGACCAACCTACGGCTGGGTACCACGCTGAGCGTGGTCTGGTGCTCGCCTACGGTGATGAGCTTTCTGCCCATATTTGCCGGCTGGTACACCACCGAGGAGCACCTCGAATTCCGCAGGAACTATCCGGACGTGTGCGTTTTCCAAGTGAACAAACTCTACGCCGTGATCAGCTCCTGTGTCAGTTTCTGGGTGCCGGGAATCATCATGATAGCCATGTATTACAGGATCTATCGGGAAGCCGATCGTCAAGAACGCATGCTCTACCGGTGAGTCGAATTATTCCAAATTTTCATACGAATAAATTAAGGGGCTGCAGATATTTAGACATAATCAATGTGTAAAAGCTAGTTTCATTATTAGTTGTTCCAAAGCGGTCGTCTTAACGGTAGGATTATGGACGATAACGGATAGGATACAATACATCATCAATGAGAATCGATCGCAATTTGGAATAGGCTCCATCAGGTTTCATGAATAACCCGCTAAGTACCGTCCGTCATCTCATTAATTATTTGGACCGCAATTATATGGAAAGCTTCAAGTAGTATCGAGATTTCAACAACGTTCGATACACTGTATTCTTTCGTTATAGTTCATTTTCGTACGTGTTTAAACAAGATCGTGACATGCAGACAAATATAATATATATTTAATTATTTCGTTTTAAACGGGGGGAAAACTGAAGGGAGCTTCCAATTAAAAATGATTCGGAAGTATGGTCGACGCATATTTTTTGGTCCGAATGGGATGCGGGCTCGTTCACGTGTACACGTGTGTCGAGCTTTTTAACGAACGATTCTGTCGCGGAGCTGCGAGACGAGCAAAAAGGCAAAAATCGTAATTAACTGCGAGAACCGAGTAATTACCGGGACGTTCACTTCGCGAGACGTTCTGTGCATTCAGCTGGCGTCGTTGCAACAATTCGCAGTTCCATTTGCTCCGTTGAACTCGAGTAAGAGACGAGAAAGAAAAAAAGAGGAAATGCAGGAAAATGAGACCGTACATTTTCTAGCATTTTCCTAGCCGTTTTTTTTTTATCTGAATTGTTTTAATGAATGGAAATGAATGAATGATTTTACACGGTCTCGGTAATATTTTGGAAAATCCAGACCACGAAGAGATCATTAAAATCAGTTTGAGAAATCGATCATGAAGCAAGAATATTTCGCTCACGATAATTTATGATATATAAAAACGTGTTCCATTTTTTCTTGATTCCTTGTTCAGAGTAATTACACCGTGGATTTAGGCTCTTAAGTTTTCACCAAGGATCATTTCGGAGATTCATGTCTCGCTGTTCGGTGTAATCGTTCTACCAACGAAAGCGCCATTACCATCGCGTAAAAGATGAGAAGTTTCGGTCGGAAACCGGAATGAGAAGCGAGGAGAAGCTAGGCCGTGATTATGAATCGATTTCAAGATTCGAACAACCAACATGAATGCTTCCTGCTTGGGTTTTTACGTATAATATATTTGGTACATTCTTCCAAACGGTTGCACGTGTATCATTCTACGTAATATTTTTAGGAAATCAAATTAGTGACTCAAATTACTGATTGATTAAATATGTCAGGGAAGATTCTAATTAAAAAAACTCGATCACAAAACTAAATTCTACGAACGTTAATTACAGCTGTCGTTCGGATTGCTTCGATATTTTCGAAAGATCTTTCATTTCCTTAGGTGTGTTTGATGTTTTCTTTAGATTGCATTATTTTCGATGAAGAAAATGGAAAAACTCATTCGGGGACGCCTTAGGTTTTCCCGAACGTAAGGGAACATCTTTATGCTCCCTCCAAGAGGTCATTGATATTCTCTTACATTTCCTAGGTGACTCCCTTAACGTGGACGTAGTGTTTTCTACAGTATCTCTATGGATAAAAGGACTCGGTTTTGTTCAAGAATTCACGTCCCACTTGCATTTGTTACGGATGCCGTCGTCGCAATATTTTCTTCCCTTTCACGGTTGTTTCACTTGTGTTATTTTATCAAACGACGTGATATGGCTTTAAATTGAAACTGAAGATTTAAGACAATCATAAATGCATCTTAGAATTTCCTTATTCTTTTCCTTCGCTGTTAGTATTTAACCCATAATAAATGGCTTCATTCTACTCTTTTTTTGTCAATATTTTTTAGAGAATATAACATAATTTAGTTCACGCTTGTAATTATAAACAGTGAGTAAGAGGACACCTTCGTCGTAGTTTTGGGACGATTGTAGGATACAGTGTTTCACGAAAATTCGAGACGTCACATCTCCAGTTACGTATCGACTTGCATTTTCGGACTCTCTAAGCCTTCGATACTGCCTCGTAACTCTCTAGGGGAAAGTCCGTTTTCTCGTGGCGGAAATTGATAACAGGGACTGAAGTTTGAGAGACAATATGACAGTTTTATAGGGCGGTAAACGTTAATGGAGCGTGATACGATCCATGTTGAATTCAGCATGCGAACGAATTATAATAAAAGCAAAGGATTTTATTGTCTATATCAATAATTGTTTTAGTGGTTTCGTAACAGGATTTTTAATTGCTCTAATTCTTTAACCGTAACGCTTTTAATAGAACGTTTCACCGAGCCCGTGACCATCGGTTTGGACAGTGGCTAATAAAATCTGACACACGGGGAATTAAATCCCTTTACAACGGCGACCGCTCTCGGTTTACCATGTGTGAAAGCTATAAAATCAATAGCATCGGCTGTCAAAGCTTCTGCCAACGTGACGTGCGTACAGAGTAATCCGGAAAGAATTTTTAATACTATTCTATCCGCGTTTTTCTCCGCGAACAATCGAGCATTATCAAAGATTTTTCAATTAAATAAAAATTGAACGCAAACCGAGTCGCGTAGGTTGATTCTTCCACGTATACGTTTACTATTTAAAGCAGCCGGCTAACCTGGTTTCGTCTTGCGAACGGCGTATTTAATTAATGGTGAACTTAATTAATGACCTCTGATTGTCAAGGGCTGCTGCAGATGTTTACGCCGCAGATTCCGTTTGAATATCAATGTTTCATTAAAGCAGAACGCGAACCAATTTCTCGCTTCACGCGTCCCAGTGATCAGAAATTCTTACGTTATTAGCTAATGAGGTTTTTAATTCAGTATATATCTTCAAAGAGTAAAGGGACGACCTTCTGTTTATCGTTGGTTACAATTCGTGGTGCATCTTAAAAAATTTAGGGTCTGTCTAAATAATTTAGTTGTTTTCGAAAACGCAAGTTGCGCATTAAAAGAACATGCGACGGTTTATTTAGATGTTGGCGAACTTCGCGGAAGGAACTTATTTCCGCGATCGGCGCTCTCGTTCGTCCGGTACCCGACGGAATACCAACGAGACAGCATTCGCATCCGCGAATCAATCCTCTTTGAGAAAACGGAGACAGATGCAAAAAAAAACGATCTCCGTTTCCATTTCATTTCACCAATACCTAATTCGTTCTACTTCATCCTGTTTTTATTTCCGCCTTCCGTTCCGCCGATGATTTTTCTTCGTTTCCTACCTACGTCGAGGGTACATTCGATCCCGCGGGACGTCTATAAAAAGATCCATAAGGTTTGAAGTTTCGCTTAATGGCGTGTCAGACCACGATAGTGTTCTCTCTTTTCCTATTCCAAAGGAAGCCAGTTCCATCACCTATAATAAGCAGGCTCTGATAATCAGCCGACTTTTATGCAAAATAAAATGCATTTGCAAATGCAATATAAATTTAGATTTCTCTTTATTACAAATGTGTGTTGTACTTTCGACATTCTGTATGTGAAATCTCAGCGTTTCGAACGCAATTAGTTTTAACAATCGAATTGTACGATTGCAATAGATTCAAGATAAGATTGTGCAATCTTTATGCAAATGTTCCCAAATACTGGATCATATTTGTTGCGGTCGAAGCGATGCCATAGGCAGAGTTTCGATGGTCGTGTAGGGTCCGTCCTTGGCGTCGGTTCCGGTCGGGATGCCAGTACTACAATTATTCCCGGCGATTATTGCGTGAGCCCGTGGGCGAGCGATTTATGTGACCGAGTAGAATATTAGAATTCCTGTTCCTGGATCGGCTTACGTATCCTTACGGAGCCGGAAACGGCCTCGTTTTTCTTCACCGAGGTCACGAGATATTCGACTTCTGCCCAACGTGCCGATAAACGAGGGTCAAACCGGATGACATAGAATCGACCGAGCTTTAAATTGTTACTCGATCCCTTCGATTTTATGCTCGAATATTTTTAGTACGTACAGTGCTGTTCACTTAGATAGCCTCGAACAGCCCATAGTATTTTTTTATACATTACACGTCAGCTTAGATTTCGAAATTTTTTAGAATTACAGCTAATCTCGTTAGCATGTCTTGTTTTTCTACCAATTTATATGCGAACGTTCTGTAGTTCGTTTTGAGTTATTCGAGGAACGAAATCAGGCTCGGTTAATCCTTCATTGTGGATGTAAATTAGAATAGGAAAAGCTCGATATTCGGTGGAGTACTCGAAATCCTGTTTACGCCGTGCATCGAGAATTAATTTTCAACGAAAGTTGAGAATTTGTGGCCAGGACACCGTTCGTTAACATTCATAAAAAAGTTGGTACGGCCGCGAGGAAACTTTTGATGACCCTCCATGCATTTCGGCCGCAACACGGTATTGTAGCACAGTTTCTCCTAGCAGTGGTGGAAAGTAATTACCGTCTGTTCTGCGGCAATTACTGACAATTTTTTACCGGATTTTAATATTTTTACTACGTTTTTACAAGCTCGCTTTCTCGTCTGTCTGCTCGGTACGAATTTCGCAATTGATTTTAAACCAACTTCCCGGTGATTTAGAGATTGAAATAATTATAAAATAATTATAAAACACTTGTAAGATTTAAAACGAAAAACGTGGGGCGCATGTAATAAAAAATTGATGCATTAATAGTGCGCCCCACGTTTTTCGTTTAAAATTTTACAAGTATTTTATAATTATTTCATACTTTTTAGTCCGTTTTAAAAACGTTCTATATTAAGAAAAAAATTTTATTCAAATAATCATTTAGAGATGAGTGCATCCATTTAAATCATGAAGTGAGCAATTATTTTCTATAAAAATTATTTATGCAAACCTACAACTATTTCTAGTTTCACCTTGCACGTTTCTCTTGGACATTCTACGTTTGGATTACATCCATTCTATACGAGTTTCAAAGTATTGGATTCATGCAAAGACTGAAAAAAAGCGAGAAAACCGCGGGCAGGCTTTACAGTGCGATGAATAACGCCCTCGCAAGTCTGCG